AAAAAAAAAAAAAAAAAAAAAAAAAATATTTAAAAAGAGCCGAGTGGTGGTGGCACATGCCTTTAATCCTAGCACTCTGGTGGCAGAGGCAGGTAGATTTCTGAATTCGAGGCCAGCCTGGTCTACAGAGTGAGTTCCAGGACAGCCAGGGCTACACAGAGAAACTCTATCTCAAATAAAATAAAAATAAAAACAATTCAAGAATATCATTACTACAGGAGACCCTGTCTGGAAGTGGGGGAAAAGGGCCAGTGAGATGACTAGCAGGCGAAAGTACTTGCCACCAAGCATGTCTCTGATTTCTGTCCTGGGACCTATATGGTAGAAAGAACCAACTCCTGCAAGACGTCTTCTGGCTACATATGTGTGCACGTGCATATACGTACACAAAATAAATGTAATTTAAAAATACTTTTTTAAAAGGCCGGTGGGCCATTCAGTCGGTAGACGTGCCAAGCTTGTTTACCTGAGTTTCTGTGTCTGTGTCACATAATGGAAGGGGAAGACTGGCTTTGTCCTCTGACCTCCATGTGGGTGCTGGAGAGCACACTCCCATACAAATGCACACATGGGATTGTCTGGGGATGTAACTCAGTTGTTAGAGTGCTTGCCTAACATCCCCAGCACTACATAAAGTGTGGTGACACAAAACTGTAATCTCAACACTGGGCAAGCAGGGATATGTAGAGACAGGAAGTTCAGTTATCCTTGGCTAGCCAGAGTTTAAGACCAGTCTGATCTACTTGAGACCCTGTTTCAAAAAACAAACAAACAAAACCCAAAAAACTCAACAAAATAAGATCTAACATGGTACAGTTGCCAACAGTAGGAAATTAACATTGAGTCATATTGTCAGGTGAACTGTAGATCCTGAGTGTCGCCGTTTTTCTCTGATGTTCTTTTTCTGTTTGAGGGTCGAATCCCTGGTGCACAATTAGATCCAAGGGTAGATCCTACTCTTGACACTATAGTTAGATAGGAAGCTGCTGCTGCTGCTGCTGCTCCTTCTCCTTCTTTTTTTTTTTTGGTTTTTCGAGACAGGGTTTCTCCGTGTAGCTTTGTGCCTTTCCTAGAACTCACTTGGTAGCCCAGGCTGGCCTCGAACTCACAGAGATCCGCCTGCCTCTGCCTCCCGAGTGCTGGGATTAAAGGC